AGCTCGCGTAATACTCTAGCCTGTGCACCAGAAGAAAGTAGCTTCACTTGTTCCTGGATGTGCTTCATCACGTGAAAGAAGCACATCAGGAACTGGTACTTCAGGTTGTCGCCGAAGACGGCAGCGAGGGCGTTGTACTGGGCTCTATCGGCATCGGCCATAGCGTAGTACACGGATAGATGCTTGTCAGTGACCCAACGGTACACTCGACAAAGCGCCATGAGCGCAGCCTGGAACATGGGCTGCGTCTCCTGGGACATAACGAAGAGCGCAACAAGGTGGAACCGACGCGAGCGGTCCGATACCCCGACCACCAGCACGGGGTAGTCGCTCTGGTTGGTTTTATAAGTTCCGTCTAGGTGGAGAATAAAACTCTCGGGGGGCACGGACAGCCTCAACAACAGGGCCTTCGTGCTGATGCCCACCAGGAACGGCCGCTTGTCCGAGCCGTTTCCGATGATGGGCTTACCCTGATTGTCCATGTGCCACGCAAATGTAAACGGCTCGGTCATGCCCTCGCTCCCGGTGTAGGCATGGTCACGGACCCAAGCGGAGAGCTCCTGGACGCGGTCATGATTCTCCATTTGAGTGCGGCTGTAATGGTTCACAAAGTTTTGGACGGTTTCAACGCTGGCAGCTCTTCAAGAGGGGTGCCGAACTTGCGAGCAAGCGCGTGTCTGATGCGAATCGGTCTCAGACGTTGCTCGACCAGGTCACGACAGAAGGCCTTGTGCCGAAGAGTGAGTTTCTTGGAGGCTGGGGTCGCGGCAGGTGAGCTGTGCTGACCGAACTCAAAGATGGAGGAGTGGTCGTTGTCCAGGCACGTCACCATCTTCCCCCGCCATGAGCACTTCAGTGGGCTCGCTTCGGCGCAGAAAGTAGAGCTGCACTCTAGTAGACGATAACGCATCTTGTGGTCGGCACCGGGGCATATGGTGCACCCCATTGCTTGGCTCTTGTAGATGTCGAACGACGTGAACCTAGCCAATACCGCCTCCGCTTCGGCGGCGTGGACATCTACAGTGATCTCTCGCCAGCTAACTCTCGGCGGCATCCTCGGTAGTTGTGCTTTCCAGGAATGCTGTGGGTCACACGAAAATTGCCTCAGAGCGACCAGATTTACCCTAACCGCGGCCTTTTTGCACGCTTCCTGCGCTTTCTGCTTGTATTGTGCTGTGAAGTGTGCTGCCCAGCGCACCGTTGTGGTGATCAGTTTTTATGGTGCTGACGCAGACTTATTGTGCCATGGCCACACTGTATTGTGGCCGTAAGGCGTTCTCCCGTTTTGGGTTACTTTGCCGATCATTGTTGCACGATGAACTCCCATACCGGTACAGTACATGTAATGGGATGAAGCGACTCGACTTCGGCGAGCACATTGTGAGGTATGGTCAACAAAATGAATCACCATGACGGTGACAATGATTCATTTTGAGCAACACACAGCGGAGACGGAAGGCCTCCGCTTCCAACGGGAGCGCATGCCATGTGCCGCTTGCGGAAACTCGACTGCCAAATTCCGATGCTCATCCTTGTGGGACGATTTGTCTTCCAATACATGTACATGTATTAATAGTAAAGATCATTTCAACCGGTGAAACGCAAGTTGAGGGTCTCCAATAGACTCTCCATGACCACCCGTTCACGGAACCGCTTGATTAGGGCCCGCCATGGGACCGGTACGTGTAACCGCGCGTTCTGGACGGATACCCCGTAGTACAGTAATACATTTAATTTTTAAAAAATGAAATGTAGCTTTTCGAAACATTAACTGGAAAAAAAGCTTAAAAATGCTTTATTTTTCCACTAATTTTAATAAAAAGCTACCGATAGAACCGATTCGGTACAGTACCGGTACTGCTATTGTAAAAGCCTTTTTAAAATGATTTTCTTACTTGAACTAAACCATTTAATAATGTTTTATAATAGGCACGTGTTGCTGCGCTTTACTCAATCCAAGCTATTGCTCATCATCATCACAGTCCAGTAAGCTTCTCGAAATATGAACTTCGGGTCGTAGCTCACTGCGCGCCGTAACCAGTTGAGTCAATGATCACCGTGGTCCGTCAGTTGAGGTGGTCGTCCACGTCACGTAGCTGCCAGTCCTGTCCCTGATCAGAAGACGGTGTCCGGTGGCCACAGAAACCGCTGCCCTAAAATACACCTACAGCTATCCTAGCACACGCACAGCAAACGGTAACTGAGTTCCTAGGCCGCGTGCACGTAAGGGAATCCGTCGAGATCTATTGCCAGATCGCTCGCGCGTGATCCCGGGGGCTCTTAGTACCGGGGGCTAACTCCACTACCCTCTCTTTGGGGACACGTCACGACGTTGCGGGCTGCTGATACCGACGATCCTACGGGGCTACAATACCCGTCTCTCTGACACACTCTTGGGAAACCTTCACACTCAAGGACTAACACTGCGATGACACTGGCTAACTGGCTAACTGGTTGTTGTACTTGTCTTCTGCGCGAAACGTATCAGACCGATACGCTCGTGGCTCTCTCTGGAAGCACTTGCCTGCTTCTCTGCTAATCTCGAACTGAGGCTATCCCTCTACTACCACATGCACTTGGTCTCCCGCTCCCTCATTCAAGCAACAGCGACTCCTCACGAAGATCGCCATTCGCCGCACACTTGCCTTGAGTATACCGGGTCGTCTGGATCTTCAACCGGTTGCTCCTTTAAGGTGGCAGCTGCTCGAAGGTGGATGTTGACTTATCCACTTCACTGTCTTGTCCTCCTGTCCGTTGATCTCCGTCGCTCCTCGCCTGCCGTCCATGTCTGGATAAGATGAGCCCCCAAGAGGATTTCATCCGCTTACTCTCTTCCCCTGCCTACGAATCGTCCGCGATTCGTCCATCGTCGCTGCTAACCCGCTCGTCCATCGCCGCTGTCCTTGCCACCGTATCCGCTGTCTCTTGGTCCGCTAATCCGCTCATCCATCGCCGCCATCTTCTTGTGCTGCTAGACCTTCTTCGCCATGCAGTTAGTGCGCGGGCTCACGTGGGATTGCATTCCCTGCACCATCGCTGTCATCCTCGCTGTCGTCACCTTCCTGATCTTGGTCGCTGTCGTCCGAATCTTCGTCTGCACCAGTGTGCACGCGTCCTTGTCGCCACAGCTCCTCGTAATCTGCTTGGTTGATCCAGAGCTTCTGGGGGCCGTCTGGGTCAAGTCGATCACCCAGCCGTTCAACTTCGAACTCCAGTATGTATCGGCCGGTGCGGGTCCGATATCGTCGTCGGCGGCGTTCAACCACAACGTCGTCCGGCCGCCATCTGCTGAGGCGAGGTCGTGTGGACACCAAGCTGTCGACACCGCGTCGCACTCGTCCAGCAAACACGTAAATGGTCGGCTCTTCGTCTTCTTCGTCAGGTGGTCCGACTGCTCGTCCTCGTGCTGGTGCGTCTGCTGCTGCGTTAGTCTCGTCACCAACACTTGGTTCTGCGTCTGTGTACGGAGCTCTTCGCTGTCGTGCTCGCGTTCGGCTAGCAATGGTGTCTGCGTTAGGTTCGACTGCTGCTCGGGCCGTGAAGCGCACGCGCTTGCGTGGTGGCGCACGGCCTCTCGACTGCTCCCCGTGTCCGTCGTCGTCTTCGTCATCCTGATCCTGATGTGCTGTCGGGGTGGCACGTCGCTTGCCTGGGGCCGTCTTCCGCGTCGGCAGCACGTCCGTGGCGCTGGTGACTTGCTGCCCTGCGCTGTCGGCAGCAATCTGACTTGTGTCGCTGGTCGCTATCGCCCCGCTGCGTCCGTCTCCATCCGTCGTGCTCGCTCCACCACTCGTTCCTGCCGCTGCCGCCGCTCTATCTTCAGCAGCCTCCGTCGCTGCTATTTCCGGTTCGTCTCCGTCGTCGTCCTCAGAATCAGCGTCAGCCGCCGCGACTGCCTCCTCCTGCAAGTCAGCTGCGATGTCGCGCGCCATCTCTTCCAGCAGATTCGTCGGATAATAATAGGAGATCAGGAACGAGCAATGCGTCACTAGCTCCTTTCCCGATTCCAGCATCTTCACTCGGAAATTGTCATACCCGGCCGCCTCTATGATCTGCGCAGGTCCACGCCAGCGATGCCCGAGCTTGGTGATGCCTGGTCCTCGCGTGGGCCTGTACACCCATACCAATTGATTCGGTCTAAAGTCTCGTCCTGTACGTACCTTCCTCTGGTTGTAATACATCGCCTGCCTTGCTTGCTCCTTCGCTAGCGCCAACGCCGCCAACTCACGCGCCGTCTCCAAATCTTCGAGCAGCACTCGATGGTACTCCTGCAATGTGCTATGCGGGTACACCAACCGACTCTTCCTCAGCAACTCTGCAGGCGTCCGTAATTTCCGGCCCATCATTAGTTCGTTAGGCTGGTAGCCATGCGTCGCGTGCTTCGCCGAGTTATACGCGTATAGTGCACTAGGCAGAAAATCGTCCCAATCATCCTGCTCTTCGCCCACATACAGACTCACGATGTCCTTCCAGGTTCTGTGAAAACGTTCAGCAAGTCCAAGCAGGTTCGGTCGGTACGGCACCGGTGTCGACTGCTTCGCCTGCAATAGCTGCAGCAGCTCCGCCGTCGCTTGACTGCTGAACTCCATCGCGCCGTCCATCATGATCTCTCTCATGGGGCCGAAGACCAACACCACTTTCTCCATCAAAAACCGCGCAATCTCTTTCGCCGTATGCTCCGCGACAGCCTCCGCGACCGCGTATCGCGTCGTGTACTCCACAGCAGCAATCACGTATCTCTTGCCGTTGGGCGTCACCGGTAGTGGGCCGGCAACGTCGATCGCCCATCTGTCGCAAACATCTCCAGTGCGCACACTCCGTAATGGCGGAACCACTGCTTTCGGTCGTGCTTTGCGCGAGCCGCAATCTTGACACGCTGATACCCAGCTGCTCACCGTCCTGCTCATCCCAGGCCACCAATACAACCGGCGTAGTCTCTCGTTCGTCTGTGATCCCCGTAGGTGACCCGTCCAGATGCTGTCGTGCGCCTCCTTGAACGCCAATGCCCAGTACGCCGCAGGCAATAGGATGCGCTCTTCCCCAGGCGTTATCCCCACCTTCACCATGCCGTCCTCGTCCTCGAATACGCGCCGTCCTCGATACTTTCCTTGCTCCTTCAACTTCTGCACCATATTTGATCGTCCTTGCTCTCTCTTGATGTCCTGATCAGTGAACTGCACGATGCCTAACTCTGCGCTGTCGACCCGATTCACCGTCGCTACTCCACTCGCTTCTGCTGCTAGTCGCCCAACTTCAGCCGCTACCTCGGCCTCCACTTCGTCACGGGAGCGCACCTCTTGCATTCCTCCGATGTCGGGGTCCTCCTTGCTCTCACCGTCCTTATCAGTCACTGCTGCGTCACCTGCTGGTTCTCGGGATAAAGCGTCTGCCACGTGGTTTTCTCTACCCGGACGGTATAGAATGTCGAAGTCGTACTCTTGCAGAGTGAGCGCCCAACGATGCAGTCTACCCGCCGGTTCCTTCGCCGTCATGAGCCACTTCAACGCAATGTGGTCCGTCACAATCGTGAACTCCCTTCCGTAAAGATGAGGTCTGAACAGCCTCACTGCCCACACTACTGCCAGGCACTCCAATTCTGAAATGCTGTAGTTGGCGACCGTCGGACTATTGACCTTGGAGGCGTACGCCACCGGTTGGTCGCCACGTCCTTGGTCCTGCGATAACACTGCTCCTAGTCCGGTCTTCGAGGCGTCCGTCGTTAACTTGAACGGCAATTTGTAGTCAGGGTAGATAAGGACAGGTCTTGTACTAAGCCATGCTTTTGCCCACGTGAACGCCTCCTCTTGTGCATCTCCCCAAGTCCACTCAGTCGTCTTCCGCAGCAAACTAGTCAGCGGCGCCATCTTCGTCCCAAACTCCGGCACAAATCGTCGATAGTAGCCAGCCAATGCCACGAATCTCCTCACCTGCGCTTCGTCTTGTGGTCGGGGGAACTCTACAATCGCTTTAATCAGCCGGTTCGTCGGCTGGATCCCTTCTGTCGTTAGGTCATGCCCTAAATACTCCATCCGCGTCGCCGCAAAGGAACACTTGGACGCTTTCAAACTCAGGCCAGCTTCTGCCAATCGCTCCAATACAACTGCCAATTCGACCACATGTTGAGCCACAGTCCCTTTCGTAAAAATGATCACGTCGTCCAAGTAGACCAGGCAACAGACCCATGTAAGACCTCGTAGCACACAGTCCATCAGTCGTTGGAATGTACTCGGTGCGTTGCAGAGTCCAAAAGGCATGCGCTTGAATTGGAAGAGTCCACGCCTCGTTGTGAACGCTGTCTTCTGCCTGTCTTCCGGTGCCACCGCCAGTTGCCAGTAGCCGGCGTGCAAATCAAGACTCGTGAATCGCCTTGACCCGTGCAGCGCTTCTAACGTCTCATCCACTCTCGGCAGTGGGTAGACGTCCTTCGTTGTCACTGCATTCAGAGCTCTGTAGTCAATACAGAAGCGCACGCTGCCGTCCTTTTTCTTTACAATCACCACGGGGAAACCCCACGCGCCTTCTCCCTTCTCGATGACGTCTTGCTCCAGCATCGTGTCAACCTCATTGTCTATCAGCTCGTACTCCGACCCTGCATGCCTTCTTCGTCCTAGCATGATCGGCGCCGTGTCTCCAGTGTTTATGTGATGCTGCACGTTTGTCTTTGCAAGTGGCGGGCATCCCTTCTTCTTCTCGACTATCCCTCGATAACGTCGTAACAACGCCACCACAAGCTCACGATCCGACGGCTCCATGTCTCCGATGTCCAACTTATCTTCGTCCGTCAATGGCAGTGCTTCTTCCGTGCTCAGTGTCTTCACCCACTCTGCCACTCGTGTTTGCTCTAGCTCGCCATTCAGCGACAGGATCTTCATCACTTCTTCCGTCGGAACCCAGGTGCCTAAGGCTTCACGGGCCGGCATCTTCTCGCGTCTGCCTTCCAGATTCATCACTTCTATGCGTACTGTCCCGTTGCGCACTGTGTCCAGTGTCGGCGCCATCAGCAAATGCCGCTTACTGCTTGGCTTGGGAACAAACACGCCCGTCGTCCCGTCCTCGGCGTCCACAGTGACGCGCACTACACTCTGCGTATTCGTCGTGAGCTTTACCGTCTTGGCCAGCCGTACCATCGCGCTGCGCCCGGCTCCTTCCAATTGCAATGAGCTCACTCCGTGACACGTGAAGGGTAATATGACCTTCGTGCCGTCCGCCTCTCGGTACTTCAACTCTCGCGTCGAGAAGTCCATTTTCACCTGCCGCTCAACCATCCAGTCTTCTCCTACCAGGAACTCGTCGCCCTGTCCGTCCACGACCAGCGCATCGATCGTAACTCTCTGCTGGGACTGCGTCGTGCCCAGAAACCTCCATACTCCCAGTACACGTGTTCGACCTCCGCCAAACCCTTCAGCCACATCCACTGGAGCGTCGCGCGTAATGCACCGACCGTAGCGCCGTAAATCGACGCCTGCAACGCTGAATTGTGCGCAGCTGTCTAGTCGCACTTCCTGTGTGTGTGCTCGCGTAAACGCTAGCAATGCCGCCGGCAGACAACTTGGACTTCCTGCTCCTGCAGCTCTTAACTGAGCCACTCGTAGCTCTCGCCCATCCTCGCCCGCCGCGAGCTCCACATCGCCGTAGTCGCCGCTCTTCTCGTATACGTACTTCTTCTTCGGCTTGCACTTCTCATCCATCAGCTTCATCAACTTGGTCGCCTCGATCCGGCGTTGCTTCTCCTGTTGTCGGTAACGCTGGAGTCGTCGCACCCGCTTTGCTCTTCGATACGCCTTCGCCTCTTTGACTGCTTGCTTCCTGGCGGCCCGCATATCCGCAAGTGAGCCCTCCTCTTTAGCTCCACAGGGCATTTCTCCATGTACCGCTGGACGCACGCCAACCATTCGTCGTCTTCCAGTTCTGCTGCCGTTTCGTCACTTCCGGGCGGTTCGATTACCGGTCCTGACCTCTTGGTGCGGCTCCTCTTCTTCCTTGGCGTTGGCGCGTCGACTGCTCTTCCAGCGGCCACCGCTACTTGAAGTGCCCGTACGTGATCACCGCGCCGTACGTGGTCACCGCGCCGTACGCTCCCATCTGCTTCTGCCAATACACGCAACGCTTTCCTCACAATCACCCGCAGCACCTTGGCTCGCTCTTCGCGCCGTTCCCGTAGCTCGCTCACCAGAATGCCGTGCACTGCCGCTAAGTTCACGCTCGCGCGTCGCTGTCGCCTTCGTTCGGATACAGCTCGGCCACCGCTAAGTGATAACTTCGCCCGGAGCTTCTGCTTCTTCGTACGCCCCTTCTTGGCCGGCATGAACTCGACATCGTCCACCGGGTTCATCATCACCGGCATGCACACCTCGTTCGCTCGCTTCCGAGACTTCGTCTCCGTCTTCACTGCGTCCAACGCGTCCTTCTGCTCGCCACCAGTCGCCGCACCTGCTGCGCCGCGCTGGCCATCCGTTCCTCCACTCTTCCCCTGGGTTGCAGTACCACCGCTTCTCACGTCGGTACTCTTCTTCTGGGTCAGAGCACTTCTCCTCCCAGCCGCTGCTCGTAAGACCCTTACGTGATCCTCCAGCCTTACGTCGCCGCCTTCTCTTATCTCGGGGATAGCGTCGTCT